GAAAATGAAGGATTTGACATATTATTCCCAACACCAAAGTGGTATTGGTTTACATTTCATACCTGTATGCAACGTTGTACGTACACCAAGATACAAAAAAAAAAAAATTCTAGTGTCGTACGAAGTTTATGAAATTCACTTTCCTACTTGATGATAGAGATTTTTATTTTATAATTTAAATTATATTGAATTATAAAATAATAATTTTTGAATTAATTAAGAAAAAAAATTTTAATTTTAAAAGAATTTTTTTAATAAATAAATTATTATTTTATAATTTAATATAGTTTGAATTGTAAAATAATTTTTTTATTAATAATAATAATAATAATAATAATAAAATACATGTTTCAAGACATGTTTTGTTTTGAATATATTCCAAAATCCCTAACCCTATCTTTGGATTGAGGGGATGGAGGCGAGGAGAAGGGAGGAGAGAGAAAATTTTCTTCTCCTTCCTTCCCCACATTTAGATAATTAACTAAATTAAAAATAAATAAATAAAGTAAAGGGAATTGTTCTCCCCCCCTCCAATTTTTGTATAACTAAATAAAGAATTTTTTCCCCCTCTGCTCTCTTCAATTCAAATATACTATAAATATCAAAGAAAAAATGAAAAATGCAGTTAACAAAGTTTTTTCCTTTTAAGAATAACAAATGTTTTTTTTTTCTCATACGGATTGCATTAAAAAAAAAAAGTAGTATGGGTATTAAAATTAGGGATTCAAGTCTTTTAGGTGCACTACAAATTAAAGTACCGTCCATCTTATAAATTTATTTAAATATTTTTAATAAAATAATATAAAAAATCATTTTGTTAAAAATATTTAAATAAATTTATAAGATAGACTATACTTTAAATGTACAGTCTACCTTAAAGAAATTTTTTTAAAAAAAATTATCAAAACATTCATAATAAAACTCTTATGATTATTCATTAAAAGTACTTGGGAATTTTATTCTAAATAAGGATACAAATTTTTTATTTAAGAATTTATTAAATAACAATGATGATGTGATAAATGACAACTTTAATTGGAATATGGCAAAATTCATATCTTTAAATGGAAAAAAATGAAAGTTTATTGCATAATTTAAAAATAAAAAATTTTGTATTCTTAAATAAAAAGAGGATAGAGTGGGGTATGTTTTAAATTTTTTTTAGAGGATTTGTTTGCAAACTTATCTTTTAATTAATATTTTCAAAATTTGATTATTAAATTAAAAATTTTATCTATATAGATCATATATGTCAATTTTTATATTGATTTAAGAATTATAATTATTTTATCAAAGTTAAACTTATTAGAACAATTTAAAAATTAACATATATGATCTATATGAATAAAACTTTTAATATAATAAATGATTTTTTAAAATATTAATTAGAAGAAAATTTTTAAACAAGTCTTCTAAAAAATTCAAGAAAAAGACTTAACAAAATACTTTTTCCAAATAAAAAAAAATAACATTTTGTATTTTTATCTGTACTTTTTTCTATGCAAGTCGCAAGTCAAAATGACTAGACTTTGGTGAAGAAGGAAAAAGAGTGGAAAATAGGTCCAATTGGTGTCTGAGTTCAGGCCTTCAGGTCGAATCCATGATCCCACTAAGCACTTTCCTTCCCAAATAGCAAAAAAGAACCCCATGAAAAGGAAAAATTCTATTCTCCTTGAAAATGCATACTCTTTTTCTTTCTTTTTTCTTTACTACCTGCATCATGTTTTCCACTTCTCAATGCTCCATCTCTGCTACTCAATAATAGAAAACAGAGAAATCAAATTAACCCCAGTTGCAAAAGTGCTTAAACTATTCAGCATCAATCATACTGGGGTTTGGAGAAATAATTTGATTGTCCATCAGTGTTAATTCCTCTGCATCAATAGTGATTTCCCAAACATATTTAGGTGGGGGATCCTGTGAAGACAAGCTTCTATGGCACAAAAAAGAACTTTAGAAGAGGCTTATAATTGAGAAATGTTGGAGTTGGACTTAGCTTGCAAGCAATGAAACTACTATAGAACTACAACAGTGCTGTTCTCTTTAGTTTTGGAATAAAGGAGAAAACAAGGAATTTGGCATTTGTCTATATGAAAAAAGAAAATGTGGAGTCTATTTAAACTAAATGTATATTTTATTCTCTTTATTTTAAAATAATTATTATTGTTTACAAAATTGAAACCTATTAACAATTATTTTAAAATAAAAAAAATATGAAAGTATTTTTTGTGAAAATTTGATTTCCTCTATTATTATTGTATAATAAAAAATAAAAATGATATATTTATAATATTACATGATATTATATGTCATGTGTTATTACATAATTAATTTTTTATTAAAAAATTTAATTATAATATTATATACATACATACATATATATATTGAACAAGTTTATAATTTGAGGGTGAGGGTTTGAAACTCTCACCCTTGAATGGAGAGATATACCTTATAAATTGATTTATAATTATTAAACTATGAGATTCAGGTGTTATATATATATCTATATATTAATAATATATTATAATTATACACTTATAATTTTACTTATAATAGTTTATTTTTATAGAATTAAAAATTAGATGGCAGAGAATTTGCCACTTGTAAAATCAATTTGTGGCCACATGCACATGCCACTTGTGTTACTTTTTGAGAAATGTACAGTGAAAATGGCATAAATCCCATCAAAAGCTGCTGTGAAAACGCAATATGCAGAGAGTTTGATTCATCTGTGTTCTCTATAAAAATAAAAACTTTGCAATTATGCCACTGTGGCCACTCAACATTGATGATGAAAAAAGGA